CGGCCTGCTTAGTAACTAGGTAAGCTGAACGAGGATATCGGGCTTGGTTTTTCCACCACGGTGAAAGATCTGCGTGTCCGCCGTTGTTGATGGTCCCTTCTCCAGGAGCCGGAGATCAGCGGGCATTAGCTACATACTAACCCAAAGCTAACAGATTTTTTCTGCGTGTTTTTGGCGAGAAAAATGTGGTTGAGCGTCTCAAAATTGAAGCAGCGTCAACAAAAAGAGATGCAGTGTTTCTGTGGTCTCCCTCAGAGATCATGCATGACGCCTCGCTTCGGAGTTGGCCCAGCTGCCCCGGGAGACGGGAACAGGCAGTCGCCTGCTCTAACTGTTCCTGGGCAGGAGATAGGAGAAGCTGGGCAGCTGCTCAAGTTTCTTATGCAGCCCCACTAACATGTTTCACCAAGCAGTTAAAGAGCAAATTGCAGGTTACATTTTTTTTCTAATTCATATAAAATGCTGTCCAAAAATACTATTTGAAATGCTTATTTTGGATATTTGATTTTAAAACAGCAGTTTTCTAGTAAAAAGTGTCCTTTCTCAGCAATGCTTCTAAAAACGCTCTTTTTTTTTTTAAATATGAACCTCTGACGTAACCAAAGGGAGTTATAAGCTAGGCTGCCTCAGCTCAGTGTGGAAAGTGGGTAAATTTAGGGTAGAGAGATCATGTGATCCAGTCAGTGTGTGTGTTTACTAGTGTTGGTTGTGTTCATGTTGATAAACTATAGTGTGTGAAGGCTGTACCAACTCCAGCCTGTCTGGACATCGAGTCCACGGGTTTCCAGATAAGAGAAACAACGCCTCTATTTCCATGCCTGAGGGCGTTTTGTGCAGCTGAAAGACGGACTTCTGTAGCCCGCATCGGTTGGTACCGGGACAAAGAGGTCCGCGCTGGGCTCCACAGACCTGTGGCGGGGTATAAAAAATGAAATGCAGATTTCTGGAGCTCAGATCACCGTCAGAACCGACCACCAGAAAAGATGCGCGGCTCGGCGTGCCAGTTAGTTTCTGGGTCAAAACCGGATCAGAACCGCCGCCCGGACAACCAGGAGAGGATCATGCGCAGCTTTTAAAAATACCAACTGGACTGGCTTGCTGGTGTTTGGGTCGGATCCAGCTCACAGAAGCCCACATGAACTCCAGAACCGGAAGCTCTCCCTCTCTCTAAAGCACTAAACTACGTCAGACGAACGGATATTGAGTATGAGACCGCTGACAGACGCTCATTAGTATTGATATTATATTAACTGACCAATACTATTTTAATTGTCTGGTACACGATAGTAATCTGTACAATGATGTGATGTTAGCACACAAGTTTAAGCTAACATGGTTAACTCACAAGACACCTGCTGCCCATCATTACTTTTCATTAAAATTGCAGTACAACATATTTGCGATCCAGGGCGTAAGGCAAAGCGGATTAGAAAATAACGTTTTTAGCCCCATTGACTTGCATTCATTTTATCGTTCTTCCGGGGACCCATGATGCGGGAGTGACTTAGGCTCCCTATGGATTTGGTCACTTCTGACACCAGCCCCTAGCAGATGAATGTGGAACTGCAATTTTGCCACTTGTTTGCTTCATATCCTGAACAGAATTATGGGGGCTTGGCTCTAACATAAAATAGCTACAAATATATTTTGGAGATTTAAAAAACATTAATAACAAATGCATGAAGTCACAATTGTGTCAAAATCTCCACCAATAACACATTTTGCACCGAAAGCAACTATTTCATCATCCAATTGTCGGTCTTGCTGTACCACCACACTTCCGCATTTCCCTGGGTCTCTATTCATTACACACTCACATATTTTTGGCAACAGAGCAGAAACATTCCAGCTGCTACCACTTCAACTTTGGAACAAACTACCAGTCCCAAAAAGAAAAGCACCATGAAGAGTCATGAAAAACAAAAAAACGTTTAGATGTAGAAAATGGCGACTGGTGTTTAGCGCTTTCTTATTTCTTCTGCCAACATGGGTTTCCAGTTCTGGCAGAAACGTCTCAGTGAAATACCTGAGGGGAGGGGTGTGTGTTCCATGACTAGAACCTACTTGTTCTATAGATTTTCTCTAACAGTTTTAACTTTTTCAAAGTAATTTCAAAGGCCCTTCTGTTCTATTTTGATTATTACTCCTCATCAGAGCAAATCATCACCCTTAAAACTGCAATAGCAAATCTACTAAACAAGCTTGCATTTAAACACAAACAAGGTCACAGAACTTTTACCCCTCCCTCTGCTCTCCCCACCTATTCCACCTTCCTCAGGATCCACTGATTTCCCTCTTTCCTATTCACTCTCTCTCTCTTTCTTCACATTTTTTAATCACAATCGTTTATTTTTGCTCATTTTAAATATATTTTTAAACATTTTCTAAATGCTTTTTTATATTTTTACTATTTTTGTTTTTGTGAAGCGCCTCGTGATTTTTATCTTGAGAGGCGCTATAGAAATGATATTTTCTTCTTCTTTTTCTTCTTCTCTTCTTCTTCTTCTTCTTCTTCTTCTTCTATCATTCACGGGCCACGTCCGCCTGATACCAGAACATGCATTGCCAGAGTAAACAAAAGAGCACTAATCACCATTTTCACCATTTTCTATGTCCAAACATTATTAATTGTATGCAATTTCAAATGTCTTTTTTTTTCTTTTTTGGACTCTTGGTAGTCTGTCCTAAATTGTCCAGACTGAACTATTGTAACATCCATCAGAATCTCAACAAGAACAACAAACAAGAGTTTGGTAAAGCTCCAATACATCCAAGAAAGCTTCAGCCAGGATCCTACTGAAGGTGTGCAAACATGAGCACATTACACCCATTTTGCATTCACTTTCATGGCTTCTTGTCTGCCAGGACACAGTATGTCTTCCCACAAACCAATGCATCCATGGACATGCATCCCTCTACCTCTAGAACTTCTCAAGCCAATACTCATTCCCTCCACTCAGCGCATTCTAAACTTCTCCACATTATCTAGTCTCAAGACCATGCTGGAGCTTTCTGTGCTGCTGCCTCATGCCTGTGGAATTCCCTCGGAAAACTTGAGGGCTCCACAACTCAATTAATGTTTTTAAAAATATACATTGAGACATTTCTATTAGCAAAATGTTTGGTTCCTCCTTTTATAATTTTTCAGCTTTTTTATTTGCTTACATTTTAAATTCGAAATTGTTTATCTTCTTTCTTTTATCACTTGTAGCCCTTTCAGATAATTTGATGTAAAGGGCACTATAGACTAAATGTATTATTTATTTATTTATTTATTTCATTTATTTATTTTTAGTTATATATTTATTTATTTATTTTGCACAGGAAGACTAAGCGCTTTCAAGTTTACAGAAAATTTAACAGAAGTTCTAGGAATGTAAAAAACATTTATGGATTTATGCTTTCATCTATACTTTTACATAGCTTTCCATTTAGGCAGTTGCTCAATTTAAGCAATATTACAATATTTACATATTGATCATCTTAAAACGAATGACTAAAATGAATTAATCAATTAATGAATCCCTCTTTAGAAATAAACTTTTGTTGTGAAATCGCTTTTTGTTTAAGTTTCCAGTGCAAACGTTTTCTCAGTTTAAGCATTGCATGCATGGAGTCATCCAAAAGTTTTGATGTTTAAATGAGGGGGTCATAAAACCAAAGGAAAAGTTACTTAGGAGAAAAAGGAAATAACTCCTCATGTAACTTTGTATGGGGTGCCATTTGTAAAGTCAAATAGTCATAATCTAACAGCAATATTTTTGATTATTTAGCATATCATAAGAGAAAAAAATTGGGAGTTCACTTTTTCAAAGTCATATTTTCACCATGTTATTCATACATTTATAAATGTTAAAGTTTCCAAATATATATTTAGTTAGCAAGCTACATATTTACTTTATAGTTAAATATTTATTTTGCAAACTAAATATTTAGGTCTGATCTAAATATTTAGTTTGTAAAATAAATATTTAATTCACTAACTGAATATTTAATTTACTAATTAAATATTTAGTTTGGAACTAAATATTTGATTTGTTAATTAAATATTTATTTTACAAAAAATTATTTAGATCCCAGCTAAATATTTATTTTGGAGCTAAACATTTAGTTTGCAAAATCTGTATTTGGGAAATAAATATTTAAGTCTGACCCAAAAATCTAAAATATAGTGTGGAGCTAAATAACATCGTGGGAAATAAATATTTAGCTGGTACTTAAACATTTAGCTAATATGCAAATTCGCTTGCCAATAAGGGGAAGTTGATTACCAAAATAAAAGCTGGATCTCAATAACTTCTTTATAAACTCTTGCTCCGAACCAGGACTGGTTTTATCCCCGGTTCTATTCTGCTGAACATGTCCAATGTGTTGGCTGAAGAAGAATAGAACCGGAGATAAAACAAGTTCTGGTTCAGAGCAAGAGTTTATAAAGAGGTTAGCAAGATCCAGCTTTTATTTTGGTAACAACTTCCGCTTATTGGCAAGCGAATTTGCATACTAGCTAAATATTTAAGTACCAGCTAAATATTTATTTCCCATGATGTTATTTAGCTCCACACTATATTTTATATTTTTGGGTCAGACTTAAGTATTTATATTCCAAATACTGATTTTGCAACCTAAATGTTTAGCTCCAAAATAAAAATTTAGCTGGGATCTAAAAAAAATTTTTGGAATATAAATATTTAATTTACAAATTAAATATTTAATGTACAAATTAAATATGTAGTTAGTGAATTAAATATTTATTTTACAAACTAAATATTTAGATCAGACCTAAATATTTAGTTTGCAATATAAATATTTAACTATAAATTAAATATTTAGCTTGCTAACTAAATATATATTTGGAAACTTTAACATTTATAAATGTGTGAATAACATGGTGAAAATATGACTTCGAAAAAGTGAACTCCCAATTTTTTCTCTTATGATATGCTAAATAACCAAAAATACTGTTTTACTTTACAAATGGCACCTCATAGATTTGTTGACATACATTACATCATCACGTAAAGTACGTCCTCTCGTCGAGGCACGTTGGTTTCGTTTTGTTTTGGAGGAAGATTAGCAAAGCCGCACTAAAGTTATCGGAAAGCAACGTCTTAACTCAGGAAGCACAAGAATATATGGTGAGGAGTGTTTAGTACAATAACCTACAAACCGGTTTAATCAGGATCATGACAGTGACGTTTGTCGCCTGCCGGGGCTCCTAGTAGCCGTGAGGCTAACGTTAGCTTCCACGCTGTAGCATCACTACGCTCCTCTTCCCTCCGTTCACCGAAACGATGCTTTATTATCTGCTGGTTTACTGTAGATATCGACAGGTTCCTCTTTGTTTTTGATTTGCTGTTTAAATAATGGCTAATACACTCCGTCACAGTTTCCATTAGGAAGCTGATTTATGACAGATGCTCGTTAATTGTCTTTACTGTCAGATGTGATCCAACACAGCGAACTTTAGTCAGAAAGCATAGCTGGAGTAATTCTTACCGGGTCATATGAAATCACAACCAAACAAACTAGGATTTTAACTCCTGCACCTTTAAAACACCGTAACATGCCATTGTTGTTATGATAATCACGCTAGAACATGTCATTAAAACAGCTGTTTAGTTTATACCATGCCTTATTTCTATCCCTGTAGTGAAGAACAGCTGGATAATTGGATATCTTACCTGCAAACAAAAATATAATGTAGAAATACTTCCTTTTGGAATAAATTCATCATCTCATGTGTTTCTTTCTTTATTGCTTTTTTGCAGAACCAACACAATGTCTGAAACAGCCATTAAATCGAAACAAGCACACAAAGACGTCAATGGAATTTCAACAGAAGTCGTCTGCACAGAGTTCAGTAATTACATATTTATAGTTCTCACTCAGTATGGCAAAATTGGGACATTGATTTCAGTCACACCTGACTCCAGATCTAATGATATCAGCACCCTGACGTTCTCCACTAGAGTACTGCTGGGCAAAGACGAGGTACGCTGGATGAAATTGTTCCGATTAATATTGTATCAGTGTGATTATAGGCTCCTTGTCACACGGGCTAGCTCATTTCATGTGGTGAAAGGGCAGATGAGATTGGCTCTGAACTGCTCTGGCAGACTGGAAAAATTAGATGTGTGCTGGTGTGGAGTTCAGTGGACTTTTAAAATTTACACAAGAAAACTAATTTCATCACTGCATGGGGTTGTCACTTCAGCAGGCACACGGTGCAGGGGATGTCATCAATAGTAAAATGAATTAATACAAAGTTTGCCTTGCACTGATGAGACTCTTCATGGAATAAAATGATACTCTTTGTGCAGGATGGTATTGTGTCCTTTGTCATTTTCCTGCTTTACACAGCATGCAGATGAATACCACATGGATGTTTTCATTTAAATTCAGTCACAATGTGAGGCATAACAACACTGCATACTTTAGAATATGTTGTAAAATGTAATTACTTTAGGCACAATATGTCTGGAATAAAGATGCTTGATCAATAATACTGTTGGCTAAAGGAGGCAGAATTAATTATTTAACATTTTATATTGGCTTATAATTACATTTTTCAAGCTGTAGTCATAACAACAAAAACATGTCGTCTTTAAAAATATTGGTTAAATATTTGAAGTGTCTTGGTTGAAAACGGCAGTTTTTCATGCCCATATTTTTGTAATGAACTTGTTTTTACCTGCAGCATGCTGTTTCCTGATTTAATACCTGATTTGTGTTTCTAATTACAGCCAATGACTCATGTTTGTGCCAGAAACCTGGCTCTGTTTGTCTCACAAGAAGCTGGAAACAGACCTGTGTTACTTGGACTTGCTCTGAAGGATTCTTCCCTCGATGCAGTAAAACAAATGAAAGAGATGATCAGAAGTTGTCAAGTGTGGTAGTGGGTCAGAAAAAAGCACGGCAGGAGGCTTAAAGGCTTGATGAGGAAAACAGAGTCACATTGTCCTCTTCCAGTTTGTTAAAGAAATATATTTCCTCAATTGAGTTTGTGGTATTTGTTAAAATGTGTCCATGTTCTAAAAACAGAACTACAAAACTGTTGTATTTTTCCTGTTTTTCTTCATTAAAATCTGTTCTAATAAAAAAGAATTTGCCATTTATTTTCAAAAATGATTTTCTATTTGATCGTGTGCTCTCAAAGAGTAGAATCAGTCTTACAAATAAATGGAAACCTTAATTTAATCACATCATGAGATAAGAATAATGTTCTTTTTTTATATTACACAGTGCATATACTTAAATTAGTCAGAAATAAAATGATCGAAAGACTGCAGAGGCCATTCTGAACAGTGGATTTTTCAAACCTCTACAACCACAATGCATGAGCTTTTCCTTTTGCACGCTTACAGCTGTATTGATTAGTAATGCTTTCATAGCAGTTCTTTTATCATTTTGACCTTTAATATATGTTTGTGAGAAAATAAAAGGTTAACAACTCAATAAATCTACATTTCAAGAATTACACTGAATCAGTTTCATAATGTTTTAGATGCAGTACATAATTTGTGATTTTTAAAATAAAAACAGCAGCTTGTAAGTGTGTAAACGTTTTTATTAGTTCAATGAATGATCCCAGTTGTATGAAGATTTGTATTTGTCGCTGCTTTGTTTATCATAAAATGTAAAACAGTGTTTGTTTATTTCAGATGTTACCATGAGAAAACAGCCAAAACTCTTATGCCAAAATAAACTAATTAAGATTTGTCAAACAGGCAGCTGAAACGACTTAAATGATTGACAATTGGATTTGAAGTTGATCATTTTGTGACATTGAACTTAATTTAAATAAATACATCAAATGCTGGCTAGTAGACCAACACTGAGCACAGTTAGCTCATGTGCAGTAAAATGCCTAAAATCTTTGGTGACTTTTCTGGGGTTAGGGGTTGCTTTGGATGCAGCATCAGTGCAGAAATGGTTATATAGAACCTGGAGATGTCTGAGTCACAGAAACAAAAGGTCACAGCTCACTGACTAAGCTCCATCACAGACAGTCCACCCCACCTCCATCAGGACACCTTGCAGAGATAGATGTGCTCTCTGTCCAGTAGGCTCACCATCACGGAGAGCACTTCAGGAAGCATTCACAGCAACAGGCACATCTGTAAGCCTCCATGCCTACAAATATGTCAGGATAACCTGCTTCTGGTCATTGCATAGCTTTTTTCCACAAATGTATTGTACCTTTAAATTGATACGCTGTTTAGATTTGGTGTTGCTTTATAGCATTCTGTGTTCTGGATTTTTATGTTCAGCCATTAATGTGATTCCTGGTTTTTAGAGTTGGTACATGGTATTTTCCAGGGTTCTTACAGGTGCTTGAAATCTTTGAAACGCCTGGATGTTATTATGGTACTGTCAAATCTTTAAGTTCTTAAATTTTAATAGTTTTATTACATCTTGAAATTAGTTATTACACCATTATTATAGCCTAGAGGTGGTGGTTAATCTCTCTCCTGCTTGTTTTCATTTCAGAGGTATGTTTGTAATGAGGCCAGCCCTACAGCCTGTACATTTGAATGTCTGTCACTCCCAGAGGAGGAAGTGCGATGACGTCACCGTCGGAGCAGAGGGCCACGTGATCTATCCACCTGTGCTCAGCCTTGTTTCGTAGCTGCTGGTTCGAGTCGCCGTTGAGGGATCAATTCAAACCTGCTTTCTTTTTTAAAACAAAGGGACGATGAACATTTTTTAAACACAAGTTTTACTAATGACACTCCTGTGTATGGCGTGTGTTTGAATTGAAAGTTCTGCCGTAGTTTTGTTTTCTGCGTGGACTTCGCCCTCGCGAGGCACCTGTTCTAACAAGGAAGTGGAGCGCTCAGGCCGGGAAGTGAAAACATCCTCTGTGAGCGTCGGTGGCTGCATGTCCTCGGTTAAAGCTGTGAAACGGGACTTTAGTTGTGGTCGCTGACTCTTTACTGCTGACCTGAAAGTCCCGGCTGTTGACAGAGCCGTCTAAACTGGGTCGAGCTGCACACACCGGAACAAGGTTCGTTGACAGGTCAAGGAGATGACTTGTTTACCTGAGAGAAACCCATTATGAGTCTGCTTTTGTAATTTCCCATCCTGCATCTGACTTTGAGTCTGTCTGTTTTCAGATGAATTCAACTGAAAACAATTCAATTGTTCATCTGGATGCTGCATTTTTCTCAGACAAGTCTGACAACATGACCATATTACGAACAAGTAATGGGTCAATCATAGAGGGTCAGATGTTCTTAAACACCACTGCTGCTCAGGCCCTCTCAGGGATCTTCGTCTGGTCTGCCCTGCTCCTAACATGCCACCAGGTAAGCTCCACACGCGCTTAGATTCAGTAGATTTGAATTCCAGAGGAATCACAGCATCAAATAACATCTGTTAGTAGCACAGCAGCCACAGAGTATGTGTAATCAGAGATTATTTGGGGCATCAGGCTGCTCCTCCCTTGCCTGAGGTCAGAAACACATTCTTACACATTGTGAAGGCTTAAACCCTTTCAGCTCAGTGAATATAAGCTCACACTGCCTACTTTAGTACCCTGAAACTTTCTTATCTGCTTTCAGAGTATTAATTTAGTTTCAGGCAGGTATTCACGCGCTTGCCTCCCTTGTGAACCCTCACTGCATTGTGGGAAAGTTTTGCTTACTTTATTGGCAAGGGGGACCTGAGATTAAAGTGGGTGAAAACCTTTAGCTGATTACAGTAGAATGAAAACACACCGAGCCCTATCTGTACGGGTGAAGGAAATGGCCAGGAGGAGAAAACGGCTCAACGCAGACCACCTTTATCCACAACTGTTTCATCACTGTTGTTAAAATGAGCCTTTTCTCCCATGTGCACGTGCTTCCCTCTGTGCAGGGACCGATAGCTTATCATTACGGTTTTATCATTTGCAGAAAACGCAGACGAGTGTTGTGTTTTATCAGCGGGGGAATCGATAGATAATGAGATATTCCGGGCAGTGTAATGGATAAGGTTGTTGTTTTCTTGTTTAGGAATAAAATGATGCCTTTGTTTAAAAATGATGCTACCATTATATTGACAATGCATCCTTTAAACTTCTATAATAACTGTGTTAACATGTTTGCTGTGCGGTGGAAATAATTATTGAGTAATCTGTGCATCAGGGAGACACAGCAACAACAGCAAGCCCGCTCCCATTTAGGGATTTGTAACTCAATATCCAGTAAATTGGTTTCTATCTCTTTAATATAAGACGTGTTTGCCAAACACTTGCTAGCAAGACATTTTAATTGAACAAATAAATAGCGAGTTTTCCGCTGGGAGATTGGAGTAAGTTTGCAACAGGCATCTTTTGTGTCACACTGGGGGAATAAAAGTGTCAGCGGCACTAGTGTTATGATGCTGCAAGTGTTTCGCCTGTCTCTTTCTCTGGGGAATTGCTATAGACTTTTAAACTCACTTTCTGAATACTAAACACAGCTAGAAAATGACCTTAGATGCTGTTTGCTGTGATGTCACCAATTCAAACTTGTACTCCATGGAGGGCGTACACTCCCTGGCTACTCTTTTAGGAATGTCTTACTAGCACCAGATTGCTCCAGAACTGCTTTAATTTTTCACGTCAAAGATTCATGAAGAGATCTTCACCCATTCGGCCAATCGGGTGGGTTCTTATAGGTTAGATGCCCGCCCCCTGGCACTTAATTTGGATTGTTAGCAAACACCTGAGTTAGCTTTGTTCTGCTCTTTTGCCGATTCAGCTTTTCCCAGGATCCACCGATTGTCTTTTCTTGTTCATTTTCCCTTTCCCATTTTAGTGATTTAAATGTTTTTTTTTATTTCTTTGTTTTTGATTTTTTTTTTTTGTTCTTGAGTTAAGTATTTGTTATTGCAAGTCATATCGTCATCACAATACTAATCACTGTTATCGCGTATCTCAAGTTTTCCTAATACCGTGCAGCCCTAATGTACACTCAGACCAGCCTATCTGGCACTGAGAATCATGCCACATTCACTTAAATGTCAACTTTACTTATATTTTAATACATTTGCAGTGGTCTCTGAATGAATACATAGTACGTTGTTCTCTGGGGAAACAAAGCTCTGGTGCACCTGTTTGAGGACAAAGAAGACAGCTGGAAAAGAAGGTTAGCCTGTTCAGCCATGCCAATTCTTCCTTACCCCGGGTTTCCATGGGAGCCGTCAGCAGCACGTTACTGCAGCAGCACGTCTTGCAAGCGTAAGCTGCTGCTTGGCCCTTCCCACGAGACGCGAAGCAGCAGGGGAGCAGCTGTCACCGACCGAGCACGAAGTCACACGAGTGACTTCGTCAGTAAACACAACAACAAGCAGGAGAAAACTACAACATGGTTTGTGTTTTATGTTCTGTCCGTTTTATAATCGCCAATACGGACCTGAAAAACAAAGGAGACCGCTAGCTAGGTGATAACTTCTCACGGGGACGCACAGTTAGTAACCTTTTTTAAAAGTAAAGCAACCGGAAAGCAATACGTTCTTTATTCTGAAAATCTCGGGAGCTTCTCTCCATTTCCGCGTCCAATTTCCTGTCTTTCCTTCCCCAAAAATGTCGAACTTGACCCGTTTCAGAGGCGTCGCGTGTAGAAAATAGAACCGGCGCGTAAAGGCCGCGACATGCTGCTCCTGAGACGCGGCCGACTCGCGCTGCTGACGGCTCCAGTGGAAAAGGTTCTGTTGACCACAGCGGTTCCTATCAGCAGCTATGACGTGCTGCTGCAGTAACGTGCTGCTGACGGCTCCCGTGGAAAGCCGGGGTTATGGAAAGCAAAGGGCCTGGTAATGCTCCCATTCAAATAACTCCACCCCCTGAGAATTTTCACTGAGCCAGTGCGCACTGAGCAGCATATGTCACACCCCTACTTATTTATGCTTTTGTTTTAATTCCCCACAGGCAGAATTAGTTTTATTATTCCCAACCTGTGGATGGAAATATTTATGTTTTTTTGTAGTTGTAAATAGGGCTGCAGCTATCGAATATTTTTGTAATCGAGTACTCTATCGAATCTTTTATCGATTAATCGAGTACTCTAATAAATTGCTCTTTTGCGTTTTTAAACCATTATATCAAATAGCATGTTATAAAATATGAAAGACCTCTTGAAATGAGAAAGCAATTGCCAGTTATTCTTCAAGTTTTATTCAAAATTAGTTTTCAAACCTTCAGCACTTCAACTTTACTTCACAGTAAACAAATGCGAGCGGCTGCGGCCCAAGCAGCACCAGAACCGCTCACGGCGCATGCACAAACATGGCTCGCCAGCTGTTTCCCTATTAACACACGTTCCTTTTAATTTCTACACTTTTTTTGTCTCGCACTAACAAGGATTGTCGAAAGCATGTTTTCCGTGGTTTTGTCAAATTATACAGATCACAAAACATTTATTTACTTTCTTTCGTTTTCCTCCGCCACTCTCATAAATACCTGTGTCCTCCTGCAGCAATCCCGAGGGACAACGGACATCAACAACACAGTAAAAAGTCCGACGTGTTGTAAAAACTATTTTTAGCACATTTTAAGACCGACGTGTTGCTACCAGATGTACGGTGTGAGCTGAAACTGAGTGCTACAAATGAAAAAGTTGCACAGTGTCCGCAGAATATATAGAAATACAGGCTAAAATGCATTATCTTGTAGAGGCTCTGAGTCCGCTTGCAGAAGAGACATTTACATGTGGATGTTTACTGGTCAGGTTGCAGCATTGAGCAATGTGGTGTTGTGGTAGGCTAAATCCATTTTACAGTATTTACACTGGAGTACGTTTTCCGCCTTACGACGTGAAAAATGGTCCCACACCTTTGACATTTTGTGTCTTTTTTAGGGCTGAAACGATTCCTCGAGTACCTCGAATAATTCGAGTACAAAAAATCCTCGAGTCAAATTCTCTGCCTCGAGGATTCGTTTAATTCATATTTAATTAATTCGTGGCTTTGCAGTCGCCCGTGGTCATGTTTCACCCGGACTGAAATAAGTGACGCACATGCCCACTGGACTGCACACGCGAGTAGCGAATGTAACTTAACTTTCTCTTCAGCCATGGCGGACAACGTGGACCCCGGTAGAGTGCGAAAAAGACAGAAAATGTCAAAGGTGTGGGACAATTTTTCACGTCGTTAGGCGGAAAACGTAGTCCAGTGTAAATACTGTAAAATGGATTTAGCCTACCACAACACCACATCCTCCATGCTGCTGCAGCGCCTGTAAATGTCACTTCTGCAAGCGGACTCGGAGCCTCTACAAGATAATGCTTTTTGGCCTGTATTTCTATATATTCTGCGGACACTGTGCGACTTTTTCGTTTGTAGCACTCAGTTTAAGCTCACACCATACATCTGGTAGCAACACGTCGGACTTAAAATGTGCTAAAAAATAGCATTTTTACACAAAACGTCGGACTTTTTATTGTGTTATTGATGTTTGTTGTCCCTCGGGATTGCTGCAGGAGGACATGGGTATTTATGAGAGGAAAACGAAAGAAAGTAAATAAATGTTTTGTGATCAGTATAATTTGACAAAACCACAGCAAACATGCTTTCTCGACAATCCTTGTTATTGTGTGAGTAAAAAAAGTGTTGAAATTAAAACGGACGTGTGTTAATAGGGAAACAGCCGGCGAGCTGTTTGCGCATGCGCCGTGAGCGGTTCTGGTTCTGTTTGGGCCGCAGCCTGCTCGCAGCGCTACTTCAACAGTTATCCTCCTAGTTTCTGTCTGGCTTGCAGGCTAGCAGATTCTCGCACGAGGGGAAAATCTGCCCAGGTTGTGTACTTATTTTTTGCACAGCCATTTGTTTACTGTGAAGTAAAGTTGAAGTGCTGAAGTTTGAAAACTAATTTTGAATAAAACTTGAAGAATAACTGGCAATTGCTTGCTCATTTTAACAGGTCTTTCATAATTATAACATGCTATTTGATATAATGGTTTACAAATACAAAAGGGTAATTTATTAGAGTACTCGATTAATCGAAAAAGATATTCGATAGAGTACTCGATTACAAAAATATTCGATAGCTGCAGCCCTAGTCTTTTTCGCACTCCACCGGGGTCCACGTTGTCCGCCATGGCTTAAAAGAAAGTTAACCCTTCTGATGCATGAATTATGAGATCTTGAACCATGATTTTTTAAACAATTTTTTTCATCCATCTTTAGGTGTGAAAGAAACAAATTTCAACAAATATTTTTTTTGTAACATTTTGTTAATTTACAAATAATTTATTACATGTCCATCTCAGTGGACAATATGCATTCTGAACATGAAATATGGTGGCTTGACTTACTGAAGTCCAAGTGGAGGGGCTCGCATGCAATA